AAGTGCCTTACTAGTAGTAACAAGAAGCTACTAGGAACAAGTGCCACAGGGCATCGACAAGAGCTGCAGACATTCGGATGTTTAAAAGTTGCTGAAATAGTGACTATCGACTATCGCTAGAAGGGTGGAGGCCATCGCTCTTAGGTTGGAGGCCGTTCCGGAACAAGAAGCTACTAGGGGCTCCTGGCCTTACTACGTAGGAGCAAGGACGCTACGAACGGGGCTCCTGGCATCGCTACTAGGAGCAAGAAGCTATTAGCTTATTGTTTCTAATAGCGAACATTGTTACTACTAGTAAGGCACCTGTTACTACTAGCGTGGCACTTGTTACTAGTAGAATACCTTTGTGTTCTTAAATACTTCTTCCTTGCTTTCGGCTTTGCGTAGCTCACCTGTCCCAGGTCTCACGTGATATTGCTGGGACTTTGTGGGCGTTGGCAAAGCCTCTTGGCGACAATGTGGTGATCGTGGATTAGCTGACCCCTCAGTGCCATCTACAAGAGAAAACAGATGAAAACTACAAGCCTGGTTTTGCGGCAAACCATGCAGTTGAAATCGAAGGTTCGTTCAAACATGTTTGTTGCCTTTTGGTTTGAGCTTAGCGGGATGGGATTAGATGCCAAGTCGGCGACAGTAACGGATAGTTTAGGAACAAGAACGCTACGAACGGGGCGCTCCATGTCCATCGGTCTGACTTGTGATCTAGACACTCCCCTTGAGCGGATGGGGGAAGATGAGACGTAGCATGCATGGACTTGGCCACTTCGCTAAAAAGGGAGATCTGCTAGATGAATTTGTCGAATCGGACAGCAAAAAGAAGTGTGAAGGGACTTTGCATGTAAGCTCAGATGATGTTGATCCAATAATTGATCCAAGCCATTAAGTTTTGTTTTTCCCATTTTGCGACTCCAGGATTGAAAGCAAAGACAGACCGTTGATGGATTTGATCGCTGGACACGCACTGAATCCATTGGTGCTCGACCAATTCAAGCCACAGGAGAGGATACCCTGTAATTTTACCGGGGGGGTTGTCAAAAAGGATCAAGGACTAGACAAGGGTAATTAGTGCACAGTGCACAGAATCAAGTTAGGATAGAACAAGTCTTTGCTAGCCGTGTTCGTTTCCTGCGTAGTGCATGTCTCGCTGGTTCTTGCTTTCGGGCGATTGTGCTGTTGACACTTGTAGTCCTTAGCGATGCTTTCTGACAAAAGGCATCCATTGCCAAGTGCAATCTCCCAATTTCAAACGAAGTCTCAAGTAGTCCAGGAAGACCATCGCTAGTAGGGTGGAGGAAGACTACATGGGTTTAAATAGAGAGTACAAGAGACCTGATGGTACTTCTTACACTAGGCAACGTCCAGGTTAGTAACACCGATCCTGCAGGCGTGCAGAACGTTTTTGGGTTGACACTCTTCTCCAGTCCTTTCACAACTGCTTCGTAATCCACTTCCACTGTGACAAGGACGCTTCCAACGCTACTAGGAGCAAGGACGCCAATAGTAGCTCCTGGCCTTACTACT